GATTTGAACAATCTAGAATCTACACTTGATGGGGTCATGATTTGAACAATCTAGAATCTACACTACCTGAGGATGATTCCCTATAAATATCACTAAGCATGGCTTTGAAGTACACGAAAAGAAAATTTTTAAAGGTTTCCCTTAATATTTTATCGGCCATTTGGCCCCATCCTACCCCCAGGGGGTCATGATTTGAACAACCTTGACTCTTCACTACTTGAGGATGATTCCACATGAGTTTCATCTTTCCTGGCCCAGTGGTTCTTGAGAAGAAGATTTTTAAAGATGTTTCCTATATATTCCTATGTTAAACTTTGATCGGCCATTTTGGCCCCACCCTACCCCCAGGGGTCATGATTTGAACAAACTTGAATCTACACTACTTGAGGATGATTCCACATGAGTTTCATCTTTCCTGGCCCAGTGGTTCTTGAAAAGAAGATTTTTAAAGATTTTTCCTATATATCCCTATGTTAAAATTTGATCGGCCATTTTGGCCCCACCTTACTCCCAGGGGTCATGATTTGAACAAACGTGAATCTACACTACCTGAGGATGATTCCACATGAGTTTCATCTTTCCTGGCCCAGTGGTTCTTGAAAAGAAGATTTTTAAAGATTTTTTCCTATATATTCCTATGTAAAACTTTGACCCCACATTACCCCTAGGGGTCATGATTTGAACAAACTTGAATCTACACTACCTGAGGATGATTCCACATGAGTTTCATTTTTCCTGGCCCTGTGATTCTTGAGAAGAAGATTTTTAAAGATTTTTCCTATATATTCCTATGTAAAAATTTGATCGGCCATTTTGGCCCCACCCTAAAATGTTCGTCGACCCATGCCCTCGTATTTCGACAAAATTATATAAATGATATTAATTTAATTTTTTTGTGTGCCATTTTCTGTTCCATTTCCTCTCCTTTTTCGTATTTTACGTCTTTGTACTCTGAAAATCAGAGAAATATAATTATCCGTCCATTTTTTTTTCGCGGTCCGTCTAAAATATTGCCTGAAAAAAGTAATAATTATATTTTTAACCACTTGCCTGCTCATACTTTTTCTTTTTAAATGTTCGACAAACACAGAATCAATTGGTGTGGCCTATTGCTGATTATTAAATAAAGTGTCCTAGCCCTTACTGAAAATGTCGCTACATATACATGTAAGTCTTTGGGATACACACAAAGAAATAACTTAACATCTGATACCTGTTCAATATATATACATGTAATTGATAATGATTAATTTTTTAGTTCTGATTTCTTCAACAGAGACACATACCCCCCCCCCCCCTTCAAACAAGGCACATTTCAGTCATCAGCCGAACCGCAGCATTGTTAAGGCTTGAAAAAGGGGGCGCGGCCTAATTTATACGGGAAAAGTTTACTGTGACGTCACACAAAAATATGACTTTTATGTATTTCTCATAATACCTGAAAATTAAAAAAATTGCAATTTTAAACTATATAAGTATAATAAACAACAATAAAACTTATCAATGTATTTAAAAAACGTGCTAGTTGAATCCCATGTAGCTGGTTAAAGACAAAGCACTGATCGCAATGAACTTGAAAACATGACGTCATTTTGGTAAAAATGACGTTTTTCGTGTGCTGTGGGAGGCAGGAAATTATTTAACAATGAAAATGCGTTATATTATTAAACGGAATTTTATTTATAGCGTTTAAATAGTCGATTAATACTATTGTATATCCTTTGTTTAGTTCGATTATTAAATATCTATCAAGAGAATGTATTTTATTAATTATGTCGTGTTTTTATGTACATGTTACGTATTTTTTTACATCAAGATGCCTCATAAAATCGTACTTTCGCAAGGGCATACGCTGCATAGATCTTAACCATTTTTTGAATATAGATATAAAATATTTTCCTTAGCTTCAAAAGTGCTGCTGCTTTCATTAAATCGAGGGCGTGCTTTTATTAGTACATGAAATATTTGGTAAAAGTGAAACATATTTCGGCATTGACCTGATTACTTTAAAATTAAACTATTAAAACGCGAATTCTTTTGAAAACAGCAGCATTTTTCAGAAACTACAAAGTATGCAGAAACAATTAATAGCTTGGCTTGAATTTTCAATTTCAACTAGGGTACATGTGTATGCCCCTGAGATATTGAAATGTTTTATGATCTAAATTCAGTACACGAACTATGCATTCATCACGTGACTGTCTATCGAAGGGACTAAACTTCATACAGTACAGGGTGGGTTATACTATTATTTAAACAATAAAATGCTTTCTTTGTTTGTTATTACTGGAATTAACGGAAGCAGCTGTTGCAGAAAAAATACATAACCCGCTTACGCGGGTTATGTAATTTTTTTCTGCAATAGCTGCGACCGTTAATTCCAGTAATAACAAACAAAGAAAGACATTTTTTGGTTTATATTTATATCTGTTTAAATAATCATTTAAAGTAGGATTAAAAAGATTATTATTGTATTAATGATGCGGTCGTCTTTATACGTTTTATTGATGAAACAGCCACTAATCAAGAAATATGTACAGGCGACATGCCTAATGTAGTTCATGCAGTGATTAACGCAATGGGTTTTCTTAAGAAATAAAGGAGAAAATATTCAGTGGATGTAAATATATCTCCATAAGTATTTAAGTTCTCTGAAAATAAAACAGCTTAATTAAAATAGATTCAGTTTTAAAAAAGTCCCCCTTTTTTGCACGTCTATTTTCCGTTGATTTCTCATAGTAAGCCTTAACAGTTCTGCGATGATATAGAAAGACGACAAATCACTAGAGTATAGCTATGTTATTAAGTCAACTTTAAGCATTTGTTTTAGTCAACGATAAATTCACTGAGTGGTTGCAAATGGGTTTCATTCTCAGAAGAAAATTAGTTTGTATTTTTATACAAGTGAAATTTTGCAAAACTGCTTTAAATGTATTAAGACGTAGAAATCAGATCAAAGTCTATATGTTAAACCCATTTTTACAGATAATAAATGGATTGATTTGTCATCAAGAAAGCAATTTTACCCTTGTCCATTTTGTTATGTTATTTAACATAATTTTCGAAGAATTTTCACTCATATGGAGATGTCACATTTACCGTTGGAGAGCTGAAAATGTTGTCCTTTTTAGAAAATAGTTCTTTCCAAACAACGCCTTCTCTTTTTTTCAGTCCTGAGACAAAGGGGAAGATTTGCTGGGTTTTCTCTTTATCTCTCAAATTCTACTGTAAAAGAAAACGGATATATGTGCTACAAAGACGGACCGGAGTTACCTTCATTAACTTTTGCGACAAATTGTATTCGATATGGTAGATACGTCATCTACTACAATGAAAGGCTGAATGGAGTCAAGTATCCAGCGGGATATGAAGCCATGTCTTTCTCCCAGTTATGTGAAGTCGTAGTGGAAGGTTATTTTGCAGAAGTCATTTCTTTTAATATCATTTAATACTGTTGTTGCTTCTAAGTTAACAAATATTTCTTTATCAGGATGCTCCTTGAGAAAGTATGGGGAAAATTGTGAAATGGATTGTCCAACTAATTGATTTGGAACTCTTTGCGATATTATCAATGGTAAATGTATGAAATGCAAGCAGGGATGGGAAGGAGAAAGTTGTCAAACACGTAAGGTGATTTTTCATTTAATAAACTGTTCTGTTTCATACATTCATAAAAACTACTTGATTTTTAAAATCCTACTTGTCAATATAGCCTGCCTTAACGAATCTTACGGTCAGGAGTGTACATTTCGATGTTCAGGACATTGTAAAGATGGTAGGTCATGTGACCACGTGACGGGTGAATGTGTCGAAGGATGTGCTTTGGGAGGGATTGGATCGATGTGTAATGAAAGTAACGGAGAATATGTAAAATCACTTCTTCTTAAGGACAGATGTTACAAACAAGTTTTTTCTTGGAAACAGATTTAATTTCATGACACAAGTTTAGAATAGTGGATGGTTCTTAGAATTTTTTCTCCTAAGAACTGGAATATGAAAAAAAAACTTTCAATGAAAAATTAGATATAGATAAATCACATTCAGTAAAGGTTTACAGGTGTAAACAAATTTCAGAATATGTAACCATCGAGCTAAAAGTGTAAGCTTAAGAAAAAGTGTAAACTTAAGAAAAATATACCATGCTAGGTGAATTTTATTAGGAAAAGCTAAGTGGTAAAAATCAGTCTATATGATATTGTAAATTTTATGTCATTTTTACCTTCCTCTTAAAAGTCACCTGCCTTCGTATAATTTTCTAAAGTTAATATTACACATTTGAGCACCAAGGTAAGATATTCTGAAATTTGTTTTCACCTGTAAACCTTTACTAAAGGTGATTTGTCTATATTTGTTTTGTTATTGATATATTACTAATATTTTCCAAGTCTATTTCATTTTCCAGTTTTTCGGAGAAAGAATTCTAAGAACCATACACTTTTCTAAACTTGTGACATTATATTAAATCTTTTACAAAGAAAAAAAATTGTTTGTATCATCTGTCCTTAAGTATGGAACATTTGAATAAATTTTATTTGAATAAAGTCAATGCATACATATTCATAATATTTTTTTCAATTTTAAAGAGCTAAATTTAATAATCTATGAAAAATATAGTAATTGAGAATAAATAATGTTTAATGTTAAAATGGCATGTTAAACATAAGTCAACATAATCTGATGTTAATTAATTCATTGTATGCATGGTAAAGACCAATAAAAGGGTTCTAAGTTTAGTTCAGGTGATTATACTAAAGTAAGTGTATATGTTAGGATAACAGGATAAAATTCTACAAAGTATTAACTAATCGAAAGATTAATTTAGAAATGATACTGATAAAGTAATACTACGGAGAGGTATGTTATGCAAGAAATTACCGTTTTGATTAGTTGATATAAAAAATATAGATATATTTTATATTTTATGTTATGATAAAACTAAGCTTCAGCATCCATACATGTAAATACACGTACACGTACATGTATTTAATATCTAATTTAAGCTTGTGACAATGGTCATTATGGTATAAATTGTTCTTCCACGTGCAGTGGACATTGTTTATATGACAAAGCTTGTAACAAGGAAACTGGTTACTGTGAATCGGGATGTAGTGATGGATATACTGGAAATTTATGTCAGAATGGTAGGTTTTAACAATTATTTTAATTGAGTGTACAAAAGAGAACTGTGATGTACATAAATTTTAAATACTTGTATGTGTCGTTCTTTAAATAATGATTTGTGGAAGAATGAATTTATTAAGAATAATTTCCATTTCTATTTGTTTTCTCATTGTAAGTTAGTGAAGCTAATGAAGTTGATTTCTTTAAAATTCTACCGGAATATAAATTAGACAAATTGATAAGTCAGGGGATAAAGAGGCCTTACATGCATGTATATTTCGAGCACGTCTTCCTTTGTGTCTGACGCTAAAGAGGCCAAATATGCAAGTAATCTCGTGCAGCTAACTTTGTGCTTGACGAGAGTGGGCGAGGACAATTGCAATTGAGATTGGAGGCCTCGTGTAATTTAAATATTTCGTTCTGCAATTTTAAAATTTAAATCTACAGATTTATTTCAAACTGAAATGGAAATTTAAGGAAACACTGTCTATTTAGTATAGTTTGCCAGGAACATCAACGATAGTGAGAAACCTGGGATAATTTATGCATAACGGGCTTCGCCTGTGCCTAGTGTACTATACTAACAAGGCAGTGATTCCTTAACTTTGTACAAGAATGTCAGTGTTTCTTGTTTTTATGAACACTTACTAACAAATACAGAATGTACACCTGGGTGGTTTGGACATGACTGTACAAAGCGTTGTAGTGGACACTGTGCTAATAAGGCTGTTTGCAATCACATGATGGAATTTGTCCTCATGGATGTGAAGACGGTTATATCGGACAAAATTGTTCCACACGTAATATATGGAGACGTTAAAAATCGATTTATAGAGAAAACAAACGTCTCTTTCAGTTATTTGGTTGTTTTTCATATTTATATTTTCAAGCTCTAAAACAATACAATGAAAAGTTTTCAATTTTGTATTATATTTTAGCATGTCCTCTCAAACACTACGGTAGAAATTGTTCCAATTTATATTCTTCTAAATGCACGGGTACATGCAGACAAACTGATGGTTCTTGTACATGCAGTCCTGGTTGGATGGGTTCCCCAATTTGCAACACAAGTAATAAATAAATAAATATATAATTTATTTAAATACCATTTTAGTGAAAATATAACGAAAAAATTAACGATGCATAATTTATTATTAGAATGTCTTCCTCATACATATGGAGAAAACTGTGCTCACATTTGCAGCCCACATTGTGCAAATATCACTTGTGACAGATTCAGTGGAAGTTGCCTGGCAGGATGCAAGGAACAATTTTATGGAGACAGATGTAACCTAGGTAAATGCTCCCTTAAGAAAAATTGCATCAGTAAAATTAAATTTTTTTCGGAGGTGGGTAGCGTCTTTGTTCAATCTGATTTAAATTAAATGTTAGATCCGGTCGTATACTCGCTACACTAACATCTATCATCTTCCCATAGAGGGTCACATCAGAGTTCAAACTCTATCAACCAATTACATCGTCGGCTGCAAAATCATTGTATATTGTTGAAGCGAATTAATCTAGACAATCTTATTTTAATAAGATTGCGTCGTTGGTACATCCCATCTTCAAAGTTATAGGGCATTAAGTGATCGAAATGTATGTCCATCCGTCTGTTACGCTTTAGGTTCCGCATCTCTTTTCCGCAACTCCTCTTATACCTAATAAATAAACAATTGCATTGTCGACATTTGTGCAGCAATATCGTAAATCCTTGTAATATCCTGCATCTAATAATACTTTGTTTCTGAATAACAAAGTTGAGTATGCCCTTGCGCCGAAGCTATTTTGTTGATGTTCCTTATGAACTTGTGTAGTACAGGTCTATGACGTCATAATATGACGTCATAATGTCCACTGGCTAGGGCATGTCGTGGGTACTAAGTTTGAACAAGAAAACAAGTTTCAACTTTTTCTGTGCAATAAGTTCAGCCTTTATGCATTTTAATTGGTCAATTGCATAGAAATCTCTATACGTTGCATCAACTTACTTGCGTGATCAAATTATTTAACAGCGGTCTTCACGTAGGCCTGTGATGTCCCGCTCTTGTCTTTTCAGGTTTTTTTTTATTCATGTAGTCTATTATCTTCTATCGGAAAACCAGTAAAGTCAACTTGAAACCTCTTCTACTAGATAAAAACCTTTTTCTCATAGTTAATTTTTTGATGGTTAACGTCTTTTTTCTCTTTATACCAGAGTCCTATCCCGCTCAACATGGTGTTGCTTGATAATTTGGTGTTCCACATTACTGTCCAATGTCACAATTTTTGACATGTCTAATTCAAAGCGCTGTGGTATATATCGTGATATATATGCCATTAATGATGTCAAATAAATGAAATTTTAAACACAAGTACACCAAATTATAGAGAATTTATGTAAGTAAAGTTTTTGACATGATATTGCCATATTGCCTGATAATCACAAAAACTTCTTTCGCAATGATATTTGTAAAAGTGAAAAAAATGTCCTGGGCCGACCACCTATATGTTACATCATTTAAATGCTGTTTTTATATGCATATGACATCATAGGCCTATTATATTACGTCAGGATATCTAAACGATGATTAGTTTTTAAAGATTCCATCATTAAAAGAAATGAAAATCAAAAAGCCTAATTTTAAAATATCATTATATTCTATTTTAAAGGTCAAATTAAACTGGGAACTGAAAATTTAGCATCATACTGTGACTCATTGACATGGATTGTAATGTTTGTAATATCTGTCACGCTAAATACAGTAGGGTGTGTTGCCTGTGTATTTTCGAAAAGGTAAATATATATCAATATGTACTTTAACGCATTCATAAGCGTTTTTTTTTTAATTATTAATTTGTGAAAACTTATCTTACATATTAAAGTCAACTACACTTCACGAAGACGTCGCCATTTACCTACAAAGTATATTGCAGAATTATTTAAAGATTATACAATGGTCAAGATCTATCTCCTTTTCTATGCGTTTTGAGGACATATAATCCATGATGATTGTTGTGAAAGCAGCATGAACTTATTGCTATTTACAGTTTACATGTTATACAAAAATTGGTCTTTTCAAGCATTTTCTCTCTTTTTAAAGTTAAACTTCAGACAGTATACTTTTTAGCTCAATATACAAATTTGATTACATCAATTAAAACAACAATTCTATATCAGAAACTTATTTTTTTTTTTAAATAAAGAAAAAAAATCCGTTAACAGTTCCTATACAAGCTTTACGTTTTATATCAGTTTGGCCTTAAAGATACAGTATATCTATAAATATATCTCAATTTGTTATTTCCTTGATATTTTTTCATAGCTGGGCGAAAGTGGATCTTAAATGTTTTATAATGTATTTTGGATATGAAGTGTTGTACATGTATAGATTTATTTGTTGCTTTAAGTCAATCGAGACTTTCTTGCAGTTATGTGAACTTTTTTTTTAGCTATAAGAGTTTGCTTTTGAATTAAGATGAATGGAATCGTGATATTTATTTTTACAGGGTTTCTGAGTTAAAATTATCTTGTTTTCAAATTCATTTTAAATTTCTAGAAAACGCATCGCCCAAGTCTGGAATGATATTAGAGGGAACTCCGAAACGTACATGAACAGAATGAAAAATAGATCAGTACACGAGGATGATGTACATAATTATCAAGAGCTTGATGTATCTGTAATTAACGAAAAAGATTATATTAATTTCCAAATAAAAAGGGTATAATTTTTGTGATATTAAACTCTTAAATCTACATGTATCTGATATTCTTAATTTTGTTGATGTACATGTATTTCAGTTTTGCATATTTTTTCTCTTTTAATTGCAAAATATGTACGAATCTTTTTTTCACTCCTTGAATGATGAATCCCCAGCAGGACCCATTATGTCTGAATCTCATTTAATACATACATCTTTCCTTTCACATTTCACACATTTTCTTTCTTTTACAAGTCTTGTTTTGTATTTTGTTGCATTTAAGATATAATCTTTTGCATAATTACGTATATATCCAGTATCAGTATACCTTGATCAATTCCAAGTATACGCTCCCTAAGAATTTAAAATTTTATATTTATTTACTTCATCAGTCAACCTTCGGAAAAGGAATACAAATATTATTATCAAAGACAGTAATGCCTTATGGGATATCCTACCCAAACACGCATGATATACATGGGCTTGCATAACCCCTATGCTTGTATTTGCAACATTGTTTATGATTTTTTTTTAAAAATTAAAAACACATTTAAAGTTTATTTTTATTGTATGGCAGATTGGCCACAGTGGTCAGATACATGTATGTATTTCTACAATTAACAACAACTTTGGGGCCGCCAGACAACAGTCCTAGGGCTAATCCCCTACAACAACATTTAATGTGTCGCCCGAAACGGCAAGAAGCATGCTGGTTTGAGTTTTCCAATCATGTTACCGACACATCAACATTTAATTGAATATACTTCCCTTTACTTTAAATTTTCTATATATGAAAATCTTATGAAATCAACATGTCGTACCATCAGTCAATATCAACATAACAGCAGTCGACATCATATTTCACAGCCAACTTTGAAGGTAACGATATGCATATGGCTATACCGCATTTATAATACCACTGATACGATGTGTAGGTTTAAGGATTCCTGTCTTTTTCAACAATAAACCTAAAGGGCATTTTAAACATATTTACTATACGCTTTTCCTTTTTTAATTATCTTTGAGAATATTACCAAATCAACATCAACGTAACAGTTAAGATCATATTTCACAACCAACTTGAAGATGACGATAAGGCCACATGCTTATGGTTTGCCAGATGAATGTGTGCATTTGCAGACATACAATCAGGTTGCCCACCACCACATGATGGGGATAGGATCCTCCAAGATGACCACTGTGCCTCTGTAAAAAGCAGTACCTAATTCTATGGGGGTGAATATGCCTTTGTAAAAATTTACAAGGAAATTCTTTGCTTTTACCCCATCTGACAAAACATACCAAAGGCCCCCTGAATGTTGATGAGGAAAATTTATTTCCCTATCTCTGACAAGTCTGTTCCATCTGAGTGATATAATTGTACTGATTTACCTATAATTTGGGAAAACATGATAATCCCCCCACTTGAAGTACCTGTTTTGTTTCTTACTGTTTAGCCTATTCATTGCCTGCGCCATTGCTCTAACATTTCTTGAGTGTCTCAATAAAATACAAGATAGGACAAAAACCAAAATCTCTGTACTAGTAAGAGTAGTGTTGATAAAGATACAAGAGAGTAACTAGATTTTCCTCTTAATTCTATACAAACATCGTGTGATGAATTTTTTTTTTTTATATTTAAGTATTATAGCGACTAATGATTAACTTTTGTGGTCCCTCGTCCTATGAAGGAATATAATTAATTTTGTACTTGTTGACTGGATGGAGTTTTAGGTCCCCGTTCAATCGTCTATTTCCTATTTCAGTCGCAGATTGATTCCGGATCAAACCTGGGACTGGACCCCTCATCCGAACAGTCTTTTATTCTCTCTCCCCCTCCTTCTTTTCCTTATAAGAGGCATATTCATACATTTTGTTTAAAGGTTAAATTATTTCATTCCTTTAAGATAGGTACGAAAACACAACTGAAAAATGTTAGTACCGACACATGCATTAGAGCATGCTGCACTTGTCACCAAAGAATCTCCGAAAATCAAAAAAAATATATATATATGAAGTCATCGAAAGAGTTCCAGGTTTCAAATTTATTCTAACGCTTGTAATATAACTGATTTTTAACATAACTTACACTTAAAACTTGTCCTTTATTTAACCGTCATTTAAAACAATTTTAGCTCTACAGAGATTTATCATTTTATATCATACTGATAATTTTTTCTAACATTAAAACTCGTGTTTAGCATATTGATAAGATCTAAACTTTCATAAGTATATTTTATTATTTGTGAAAGGAAGGATTTTCTTTCTCAATTTTTACAATGTTTGCCTCACTTTTACGCAGTTATGATAAGGCTGCCCGAAGGCTTAAAATGTCTTAAAAATAGACATTTTATTTTGAGCTAGATTTTAATTTCAATATGTTATCCTTGTTTGAAATTGCAGTCAACTTGAGATAACAGTTTAATCAGGTATTATAATAAAGCATTTCTGTGATGTCAGATGACTGTGTTGATCACGTGACGGATATTTTTGATATTCTTAAATGTTGCACAAAAGTCGCATCGGCACAAGTGCATAACACAATTATTGTGCAAAGTTTGTTATATAGATCAATTCATCGTGATCCATGGTACTTAAAAAGTGCTTGGGGCAGGTTTAATTTTTTCTTCTTAAGAAAATAATTTACGATAAATCAAAATTACCAACGTAAGAAGGGGTATTTTCCACTCATTATCGCGATTTATACAAAAGCGGATAAAATACATACGATCCCCCAGCAAAGTTCAGTTAGAAGACATACTTCTCTTTTAGATTCACGCAAAATATCTTCAATTTATCCTCGTCTTTCACTTGTGCCAGTCCAATATAAACACGATTCATAAATTCTAACTCTGTCTACGGAAGTGTAAGGGGAGCGTTTCAAACATAATTTTTTGCTATTGCTTGAATATATGCATATCGGACAAGCAAAAGGAATAGAGATATTTAAATATCAAAGGTTAAACATTAAAACAGCACACAAGAGCTTAAAAACAACCCTTACTCTTGAATTAAACACAAGTCTCCATAATAAATCTATACATGCCGTGTAATAATTATGACACTTTCCCCGTCATGTTAGCTCAACTATGCAGTGACTTGACGTCATATTCTATTATGACGTCATATCTAGGTAGTTCAGAGAAGTTACTACAGTTTGAACAGTTTGATATTTTACGGGCAGCCTTAACCTAGCTGCGTAGTATGAAAGTTTTGATATAAGAAAAATATTACACGGTAAATGTTATATATATTATATGAAATGATTTTTTTTCAAGGGGGGGTACTTTTCGTTAATTTTCTCACAAAATTACTAGATTTTAATCTTTATAAACTGATATTTCTTAAGGGTCTTCCACACGATGTGACTTGTGACGTATGTAGAGAAAAAATACATTTTCTTCCGGATTATGTATTTTGCTCACCGACGTTTTGCCGAGGCACCGCCTGAAAGAGAGTCTGCCAAACGCTTTAGTGATAAAAGTTTTGCTAGGGGGAAATTATGCAGTACACTAAGAGCGACACCCTAATCATAAACAATGAACACATGGTATGGTCACGGAGTGACCGACAGAAAAAGATGTCTGTTTTATTTCTATATTAAAAGAATTACAGACATCCGATTTTATGTTACAGAATAATTCGTAAACAACGGTTGTCAGTATGACGAGAACTGTAAGGTTATGCTTTCAGGCTAATCAAACCATTTCCATTTGATCGTCAACAGAGTCTGTGTTGAAAGTTGATATTTTGAACACTAACTTGTGCGTTTCAATAAAACATTATCTCATTGTGTGTTTATAAATATTGATAGATAGTTTTCTTCTTTTATATATGTCCAGTTCAGTAGCCAATAGTTAGTAACTATAATATTGTGACGTATGCGGAGACTTGTCAAAAGTTTTTGAGTCCCATGCAGCAGGAAAGATAACTCCATAAAGGAACGTTGATACCAAAGATTTTGAAAATATTTTTTCTTCATCAGTGTATCTTATTTTGATTCAATTTTTTTATGTTATCTCATTCATTGATGATTCTTCTATACAAAAGGAGTAACCAT